TTACTTACCAAAACTATTTTTTGGCAGACTGGTACGAGTTCAAATAGTAGCTTCTGTTTGTATCGACAATACCAAGAACTGGACCGATACTTTTTAGTTTGGGTTGAATATCAGATGCACTGAAAGGCTGTTTTATACCATATCATGTTGGATATTAAAAGTGATTCTGGTATCGGTCCATCGTTGGGTGTTTTTTCATGTATTTCTCTCTTCTTTGTCTTCGTGTGGAGTGAAGACTTTTCCCATGTGTTGCTCCAGACTCCAGTGTGTTTCAACAGGCTCTGAGAGAGTACACTTCAGTAGTATTAGACTGCCATTAAGTTGCCGGGATGTGTCTCCATGTATCTGTGTTTGTGGACTTTGCACAAATGTTGTTTTTCAGTGGCGCCGTCAAAGCAGCCCACAAATTTGGTCTGGCTCTGCTTTTGGAAAGATCACGTGTGTGTGTGTGTGTGTGTGAGCTGCAGTCATTCACTGGAGTGTGTGTGGTGAGTGGATGGGTGGCTGGTTTTTCGGGGGGGGGGGGGGGGTGACAGGAGGTGTTTGGGGGCTACCATGTACAGTATTTGTGTCACTTACTTCACAGGCGTAGTGATGTATGTTGCAGTGAAACCATTTTGATATTTCATCATTGTTCTCAGAGCTACAGAAGCTGCTGCGAGGCTCCGTCCAGGAGCAGGTCGTGGGTTTTTCACACCGCCGGATGATGTTTCACGTGTCAGTCATTGCATGGATTAGCATTTGTTTTGTGAGCAGGCCTCGGACTTTACATAGAGAATGTGGGGCCAGATCTAAATCTCGCTAAGTCGCTCTTTCATCTGTCATTACAACGGACTGCAGCAGGTGAACTAACCCCATCGACCATCGCTGTAAAATTCCTGCCACCATAATTTGATCCTAAAACAGCAAACCCATGTCTATCTGTCAAGTCTCTCTCGCTCTCTCTCTCTCTCTCTTTTTGTGTGTGCAGGCGTCGTTCTAGGTTTTGCAAATGCAGGCAGCTGTTCTGCTGTACATTCAAGGAGCGACTCAGGTCTGCGTTCTGGCCAGATTTATTACAAGACCTAATCCTCAAAATTACAGTTTCCATAATGTTGATTCCAATTACAGAAACTAAGCCGTGGATTTATACACATGCAAATGTTCACTTTGCTGTTTGGTTTGACACATTTAATTAATATTTTTCCTAAGCAACGAAGAAAAAAAGAAGTGTAATTAGAACAGAAAATAGATGAAAATTTAAGCTCAACATTCGACCCACAAAAAAAGAAATATTATAAACTGTTCCAGGGTGAACTGGCAGAGAAAGGCACGATTAAAACCCAGGAATAATCAAATTACAATCAGATCTTTAACAAGTACTGGTTGATACTTGAACTTCGTGTCCATCTCTGTGTCTACTTTTAAAAGGCTTTTCTTGACCCGACCAATCAAATTCCTTTTCTCATTTCTGTGAAAATGACTGAACACTTCTTGGTCTTTTAGCTCTTTTTTTTTTTTTTTTTTTTTCGTCTTTTAGCTCTTTTTTTGTTTTGTTTTTTTTTGCTGCGTTGCTCTGTAGAGTTGGCGTGAAGCGGTGGAGGCTCATTGTGGCAGTCGAGTACTTGTAGCATCGGAGTTGCCAGAAGAAAGTCACATAGTTGTGTGGTCAAACCAAAACCAAGGCTGAAATAACAGTGGATGTTGGCCCTTCATCACAGAGGAACTCAGACGGCGTTGTTGTGTTTCGGTTCCATGTCTTTCGCAAAAAATATTTAGGAATTCCTTCACATTGGATCATAAATCTAAAAAAGAAATAAAAAAAAAAACGACCTTTTCGCAGATGAACATCGACTCGTTTTGAAACGTTGACATGACTCCAAGTGTGTGCGCGTACTTCTTTGGTGTAGTAAATCTCTTCATACTCCAACACGTATTACTTGTGACAGTATTTTTCAAAAACATGTAATAATAATGCTTTTTATTTATTGTCTCCTTTCAAAGCCTCAGACTGAAACCACTGCAAGGAATTTTGTTTTGCTTCTGCCTCAAATATGAATTGATTAAATACACACAGTGAATTCAGAAGTGTTTCTTCAAAAGTCTCATATTTGTGCTTACATCTGCCTTGGAGTCCCCCCTCTTCAATTTGAATATTTTTTTTTTTCTTTGTATTTTTGTATATTTTTCTGCCAGATTGTGGAGGCCCAGTGCTGTGAAGTCCTGGGGAACTCGGTTCCCCGCGGTGTCCCTTGGAAAGATTGTGTTTGTTTGTGTTGGCCATTGTGTAACTGTCCAGTTACACACACCGACACACACACACTCTGCTGCATCTCCTAAATTGCATTTGACAGTTATTTAATTGAAGGCCAGGTTAGTACGGAGTCCATCAGGTTTTTTTGTTTTTTTCTCGGCTCATATTCAGTTTTATTGGCGAACACATCGTGTGT